GAGGACAGCAGAGGATGAGATGGTTAGATAGCATCTCCAAAGCAATGAACATTAAATTGAGCAAACTCCAGGAGGCAGTGAAGGACAGGAAGGCCTGGCGCGATATGGCTCATGGGGTCACGAAGAGTCGGACACGACTTAACGACTGAACAACAACAGACATACACAAACACACACCTGAGACTAAAATTATCTAACTATACTCCTGGTTTTGCTTAGCTTTTTTTCTGTATTCCTCTTCACCTGGAATACCCCCAAAGAATACCAAGTGAAATGAACTTGAGAGAGGAAGACAGAGCAAGAGAAATGCCAGCACTCTTCAAATAAACGGAAGGGCATCACACAGAAGATGAAGTTATTGTTCCAAAGTGCAGATCATGGGATAATGAATTTCAGTTACATGAAAGTATGTATGTTGAATGTTGGGGGGGTGGAATTCGTGACCGTAACAGCAGTTTGACAGTGAAACCAATGGCTGTGACAGGTGGAGGAATTCCCTTCACCAGATGTTTTCATGCAAAGGCCAGACACCCATCTGTCTGGGCTGTTTTACTTTGGGTTCCTAACCTGAGCAGGAAGTTGGGCTGGATTACCTAAAAGCTCCCTTCCAGTTCTGTGATTCTGCACAGTCCCGTATGCGAGATGGGCAGCTCTATCCATCAAACAAACAAATTGGTGACTGGTGTCACACATTCCAGAGTCGAAGTTACTAGTTGCAAACAGTGCCATTTCAGTTTACAATTAATCTGTAGTGTCATTTCCTTCCTAGGCCAGCAGCAATGGAAGAGATGAGCATGGCCTACTTTTTGGGGGGCAGGTGGGGGGGGTGGAAGGGACAGAGGTTTCTAAGGTTTCTAAGACTTCCTGTATGCGGTGGTGGATGCCTGGAGAAATCTCACTTGTCACCACATACCCCACAGGATTGGAGCGCCTATAAACTCCAGTAAACAAATAAACAAACCTCAAAGCTGCGATGTTCTGATGCCGCTAGAGCTTGGCTCAAGATAAGAACTGTAGAAAGGTGTTGATGTTGCTCAAAAAATGAAAAGGGGGGGGGGAAACCCTCCACCTTCTTCTAAGAAGCAAAGGATTCGGATAAAAAGAAAGACTTGCAGACTAGTTGGGCAACCACAGGGGCTGCAAGTTAAGAACTAAAACACCCCCCAGCAGCTAGAGGAGGAAGTGGTGGATGTTCCGTTTCCTGTACAACGAGGAGCTGATATCACACACAAGACTGGGTGGGACTTTATTTTGCAGGCTGAGGCGTTGCTCGCTCGCTCCTCCGCTCCTTGACCATCAGCTGTTGCTCCCAGCGCCGCACCCGAGGACTTCGCCTTCTTTCCACATTTCACATCTGGATCCAGGCACAGAAGTCTCGGAGGGAAGGTTTTCCTCGCCTGCCCTGCGCGGACGGGTTTGGGAGCGCCTCTCCGCCAGGTAAATACGCGAAGCAGCGGAGAGAAGGTGCAGATGCAGCCCTCTCCCACGCGGTAGATTATTTGCGTTCGCGGATCGACGCGGAGCTTCAGCGCTCCGCTTCTGCGTTCCGCCCATCCCCGCTTCTTGTTCTTTCGCCCGGGGAGTCCGGGCAAAAGTCGGAGATGCGGAAAGCAAGCGGGGATGGAGGGCAGAGTCGGCTTGGAATCGGACCGCTTGCTAGCAAATCTCTCCGCGAGGGGAAAGACCGAAATGTTGCAACCCAGGAACTGGGAAACGAGAACCGATCGACGCTTGGCTGAGAGAGAGAAAGGCTCGGCGAACGAGCCTCCACCCCAGGCGGGCAACTGCCAGACAAATGGATGAATGTTTTGCAGCCACCCCAAGCGTGCGCGCCCTGCCCTGTCTTTCTCGCTCACATACAAGCATGTATGAATGTGCGTGAGTGGCAGCCCCTTGCAAATCGCTTTCTACTGTAGCTGCATTAGAATGTATTTATTGTCACCCCTGGGTTGCATTGTCTAGTTGTTTGGCTGATTCAAGGCGTGAATTCAACCCTGTCCTTTGCTCTCAAGATGAGGGGGAGGGGAGGAGGAGGAGGGATCCTTTCTATTTCTTTTATGCATTTGTTCTCTGCAGCCACCTTTGTTCAGATCAGACATTGTTAGTTACATAATAATAATAATAATAATAATAATAATAATAATAATAATAAT